CCTCAGGATGAAGTGTAATAACTTTGGTAATCTCCTGACTTTTCCTCTTGCACCATCATCAGGTACTTTGGTTTATCCCTAAATAGCCTACTTGCAAAACCAATGACATTGCTATGCTATTTAGATGTACTTTGTGTTTAATGGTAATTAGCATGCTAACATGCTAAAGTAAGATGGCCATGATAAACAGCACATAGCACATTGTACAGCCTCTTAAAACTGCTAGCATGGCTGTGTCTTTTTCCTGGTGTAAAATGTGATCTAGGTGATGGAAGTCTGTACCTATCTATGTCTGTGTGTCCATTTTGGTTCATTTTTAGATTCATGCTGTTGATCGGTTTCAGTTCTTGAATTTGAAAGTTTGGTTGTTTTATTTTTTGACACAGTATATACAAAGTAGGTTGAAATAGTAAATGAACTTCTATAAGGTGGTTTGCTGTATAATTATTCACTGCAGCTAGTGAAACACAACAACATGGCCATGGTCAGGTTGGTTCAAGGCTTCTTGTCCTTGCTGGGACATGAACACTAAACTGTGCATCGACCTTTATTCTTGCAGAAAACCCCTACAGTACATACTGTACTAACCTAATGACCATATAGTATGTTACATCAAGTACGCGTAACTACAGCCAGTTTCACATCTAGTTTTTCCATTGGAAAAATAAACAACCCTCCTCACACATTGATCTCTGATGCTGTCAGTTGTCAAATCAGCATACAGAAACTCCAATAAACAAACCACAGGAAGGTATTTCAAACAGTTGTTATGACAGCATTTCCTAGGAGATCAGGTTAGCCAGAGAGGACAATGTTTTACAGCCTTTTAAAGCATTGTTCACCATGTGGACTGTTTACACGTGTGTGTACAGTAGATTGTGGTTGAATTGCATAATTAAAGATGATTTATCCATGCTCATATTGAATTTATTAAATGACAAAAAAGACCTTTTGAATAAAGGAATCAAAAAATGCTCAATCTAACCTTTATTTATCAGGAGTGAATGGCTGGCTCAATGCTCACATACAGTCACAAAGGTCCAGTAGGACCAGAGTCTTTTCCGTTGGCCACACCAGGGCAGCTGTAGGTTGTTTCAAACTTTTCCATTTGTCTTTTAAAGGCTAGAAAACACCTCCGTTTAAAACAGCAAAGACTCTGTCTCTCACTGGCCAGGCACCACTGTCCTTTGGTGATTTTGCACGTTTTAGCCCATTAACTGCAAATTGCATACACTTAACATTATTGATGATGTTCTCTGAATTCCAGACATCCATCACACTGAACATCTTTGTTTTCTATTTACATGCATGTAAGATTTATGCAGCTAAATCAAGAGAGAGCAACACGACCTTTCATTTATGAACATACCTTATGATTTATTGCGTGTTACGCAGATAGAAACTAAGAAAGAAGTCTGTGTCACTGCATGGCTGAGGCTCACTTACAACTGATAATGGCTGCTTAATTACATTAGCTGCTCTCACTGCTTGAGAGTAGATCATAATGTATTCACATGACTAACTGATGACTGGAAGAATGTCTTTACTTATTATAGCAGGAAGTCCAACATACCAGGTTAATAAAAAAGAAAGTTTTACTATAAAGACATTTGATCATTTTATGTTTTAACTAGGTTAGATTGGAAAATGATAATGCTAATCTGTACTGAAATTCCTGATAAATACAGTAGGTAACGTTATCATTAATTTGTAGTTTCATAAGGTCACTCTTAGGTGCCTTTGGAGACTGTTACTGAGATTAAGGGCTGTACAAATGAAACCGATCTGACATGAGAAAGTTATATGTCAATAAAGGTTAAAAACTGGTTGCATTTACAAGACATGTAGTGGACTGTTTGTATAACAGAAATACACGAAAGAGTCATATAGCTTTGAAGTGTCCACAATGTAGCTGAAATGGGCTCATGAAGTAGAAAAATGTGTTTGCATATATATAAACAGCAACAATTATGGTGCCTATCTTTTAAATATGGGTTCTGAATTAGCTACAGTATAGTTTTTAATTCAGCAGAAAGCCATTGCAACTTGATTTCCTCCACTTCAGCTTTACTTTAAAATATGCTATATTTAGAAATTACTTAGGTTCTGCATTAAATATTTAAAGGTAAGGCTGAAGAAAAAACTCACATTCAGCTTCATGCATATCAACCTCCAGGTCAGATGACTCCAAGTTTAATGTATTTTATATGTTATATATTTTTTTTTACTTTTGACACTCTTCTGATCTTCAGATTGCCTTATAGATTATTCAGTTAAAACCTTTGTCTGCTCTGTGATACTGGACTTACTGACTGTATAGTGCTCTCACGTGTCCCTTAAAGTCATATATTTGTTTTTCATTTGTCCTTAGAGAGTTATATGTGCCCCACCTTTGCACAAGACAAATCTGAGAGCATGAATGAGCCTGGTGGTCTCAGTGGAGCCCACTCCAGCTGAGTTAGACATGCTGACTGAACAACTACACATCCAGCTCAGTGCACATCCAGCTCAGGGCAGCTCGCCTTGTCCCACTTAAAGTTATCATCATCCAGTTACATATTGTATATACAGCCTTGTGTCATGCATAATATACAGTGCTTCTCTTACAATACCCATGGTATTATACCAAGAACTGTGCTTTACTTTGAGTCAATCCCTTTGAGCTAACATTACACGACCTGTTGACTTAACATGATTACATGGATTAAATGCCATTGTGTACATAGCCACGTCTCACAGAACATTGTGTCCAGTTCTTTCAACATTTGTATTATGATGTTGGCGGCTAATGTGGGCCATAGCACCTGTCCCAATAAAGCTCCAAATCCATCACAATTTGACATCCAAACAAGTCATGATTTCGTAATGAGGTCTTAAGCAGGCCTGGATGTGAGCCTTAGACAATATTCTTTGATGTGTTTAAACTGCAGTGTTGTTACTTTACACCAGCCAGGGTTAAAAAATACAATGTCATCCTAGGAAGTTTAATGACAGTATAATTCTTATTTTAAAATCCGGGCCTGGATCTCTGGATCATCAATTATAGTTAATGAACCACACTGGAAGGATAATACTAGCACAAAGAACCCATAAGTATCGGAGGCTTTTTGCAGAGAGGAGGCTTTTCACTGGCTGCACCTGATTTATGTTTCATTTGGTTAATGTAACATATTAGGATCCTCATTTAGCTTTATTAAAGCAGAAGCAGTTTTTCCTGGGCTCTGGAGGTTTTTCCACTAATGTTCTGCATCGCATAAGATGTTAGATTATCTCCCCGGAAATGTATAAACAATAAATATACTGAGAACATTTCGATCTCAGACCAACCTTGCCTGCCCATTATCAGTTATAGTTGAAAGTTTGGGAAATATGCTTATTTGCTTTTTTTCCGAAGAGTTAGATGAGAAGATCTCTCCCCTGATGTCTGTATGGTAAATATGTAGCTTGATGTAGCAGCTGGATAATCCCCACCCCCCCAGTCTTTATGCTAAATTAGACTAATGGCTTTACCTTCACATTTAGCATACAGAAATTGAGAGTGGTATCAATCTTATGATCTAACTCTCATATTTCTAATGTTTCATCCTGTCATCCATCAACCTTTTTAGTAGAGAGTCATATTTAATCTCTTAAACTGACTAATCTGGTATGAATCTGTGAAAACGTCTGTGGTCAAGCTTATACAGATTTAAAGATTTTCTGTACAGCGATGGTTCTTCCATCCAGTTTGGACCGGTCTAATGAGGTTGGTGGTTGTTTAAGTTTCCTAGCCTGGAGCCTGAATGCTTCAGCTATAGGATGTGTCTGCTGGTGCAAATATTCACTGTCACTGTTAATGAAATGTTCTAAGCATTCCTACAAAGCTGCTATTATATTCACAAATGATATACTTTATGTCTTTCTGCATTACACTGTTTGGTGTGTGGAGTTGATAGTTGAGTTTAGTGAATGATTGATAGCTGTTAAAACAGAATGTGGGAATATAACCTGTGCCAGCAAAACACAGCCAGCAAAGCGGTGGAAAGTTTAGTGTTAACTCTCTCTTTGATGGTACAGTTTGTTGCTAGCACGTGTTATGACATGTACAGGTTCACCACAAGAAGGTTATTGTTTCTTATGAGCGCTGCCTGGCTGTTTTACACAGTTTGAATATTCAGGTGACACTGTTTGGGTGTGAGTGACGGGTGTGAATATGTTTTTAACAGAGCAGCTCTGGGAGAGAGTCAGCAGTTCTGTTCTGTGCATGTGTGTACTCGTTTGTGTTTGTTTGAGTGTGTGTGAGTGTGTGTCTTCTGGTGTCATCCAGAAAAAAAATCACACCACCCATGTCATCATGTTATCCTTTGATAAAGGCTATTCAGAATGAGCAGGATCTATAAATGAAACAGTAAAACATGTGCTCAACTGGGATATTTTGTATCATCAGTAGAAACTTTAGGAAATCTAATCCACTGAAGCAGATTTTTATTTGAGCCCACAAAGTCAAACCTCCATTGATTGTCAGTGAAGCATACAGAGGTTTTTTTATTGGTGTAATTACCTTGTCATCATGCTAATCTGCTCTGTAGTTTTTGGTGTATGAGGCTCTAGGAATAACATGAATTCAGTTTTAAGATTCACTCTCAATGCCTCCACTTATGTGGCTGAAGTGCTAATCCGGAGACAGTTACAGTGCAGTGTTTGTGCATTTTCACTGTGCAGATTACAGAGTGGAGAAATGGGCAGAGTTGCTGTTTTTTTCCCTGCTGGCAGTTCCCACTGAAGAAATATTTTGTTTCAAAATAACCCCAGTTTCACTGAACACTTCTCGCGGATAATTACCAGTACTATAGGATCTTATTATATTATATTATATTATATTATATTATATTATTGGTTATACATGTTGCAGTATTTCTGAGAACTATGTGTACTGTGTATAACACTACTATGGTACATGCCAGTTGTTTGTATTGAGACATTAGCCAGAGCTGTGTTAGTTCCAGTATATTCGTATTGCTTTCTTGATGCAGTCATGAATACTGAACTGTGGATGCTAAATTGACCCAAATTGCTGAATTTATGGCTGCATTCTCACAGTTCCCATAAAGCCAAACCTCTAACTTCAAACTTCTATCGGTGGATTGGCTCATTGATTTTAAGCGTAGTTTATGGATGAGATTGATTTTTGAGTGTATGATTAAGCTCGTAAGGTGGCAATCAATCAAAGTAACAAAAGTTTGCTCTTTTCTCTCCACAGGTTGATGAACACAGAGAACAACCTATTACAAACCAGGGAGGAGGAGGCCGGGACATTTGAGCGGACACTGGTGGCCTCGGAGTTCATCGACTGGCTGCTACAGGAGGGGGAGATGGCCACCAGGGAGGAGGCGGAGCAGCTTGGACGAAGGCTTCTTGAACACGGCATCATCCAGCACGGTGAGGAATATGGGGCGACTGTTCCAAAATGTTCTTCTATGCGCTGTATCAAGCAACACCTGCATAATTCAATTAGTTTATACAAAATTGTGATAAAAATGTAGGTCATTTAATATATTTTATTACATCAGTGGAATTCAGACTACAGTTAGACTTCCTCACAGCTCCTCCTTAACCTGGTGACCTTCCCATTTATAACACTGAGTGACATTTGCTTTGCTCTTTTGAATCATGCTGTCTGATAACTGTTGTAGATTTATAGTTTGATTACAGTCCTATCTGCACACTTAAACACACCCTTTTGGCTCCTTTTTAAAAAAAAGTCCTTGTCAAAGTCATGTGTAATTCAGTCTGTGTTTGTGGCAGTTTTAAACACATGAGACTTTACCATCATACTGATCAAATATGTCTAAATCGGGGTGCCCAATTTTTTACCCTTGGAGGGCCAAAACTGAGACTTAATGGTGCCCCACTTTGGGCAGCTATGGTCTAGAGAGACCTAACCTGGATTACAGTTGCAGCTTTCAATTAAAGAATCTTAAAAGAAAATACTTCTGGTCCTCATCTAAAACAAAAAATAGGTTAACATAGTCTCAAGTGGGAAACTGTGTAAGTTCAGCACCTAATCTTGTCCACTTCTAAAACTCAGTTCCAGCTCATTTTGGTCTCCCAGCCATTTTGGACTGATTATATCTCACACTAGCTGGAATTGTATTTCACTAGTCCTGGTTCTGTGTCTCCTGTGCTGACCTGACCTGACGTGTCAAGAGTTACAGAATGTTACTGAGTAATATAGAAGAGGAAAATGTGACCTGAAGTTCACAAGTATCAGGAGGTCAACAAGTTCTACTGGCTGTAGAGCCCAGAGGATATCATGTTATCTGTGGATGTGTGATATGTGCACTTGTTTTATGTGACTGGTTCAGTTTATAGTCTTAGCAGTGGTGGCTTATAGTATTACCAGTCGAGTATAAAACTATAAGCCCGCTTTACCAGCTATTCAGACTGACGGATACATTTAATGAAGTAAAAAGTACATTATTTCCCACTGAAATGTAGTGGCGTAGAAGTATAAAGTAGGATTAAGTTAAAGTAAAGTACCACAAAATTAAGTAGAGTACTTGAGTTTGATATGTTTAATTACTTTCCACAACTGAGTTTTATTCCCAGTAGGAAAATAGAAAAATATTTCCATTAATTTGTGACAATTCTGAAATGTTTATCATCATAAAACAATAGAGTCATCGGCAAATGTGTCTAGTTTAAACAAAAGAAGGGATCAGAAAACAGGTAGTGAGGCACCACATGCTGAGAGGTTTTCCTTTCATTAGAACATATTTCACACTCGTCAGTCTGGCAGTTTATTGTTGAGTTCGAGAGGAACTGAAAATCTGTATTTTTCTCATTTATTTCAGTCGAGCATTGGTGCTTCTGCTTTGTGTGCAGTGTAGTCAAACCCGTTACTCCCAACTGTAAATGAGCGTTTGCAGCCCCTCGTTAAACCAAGCCAATTAAAGCCATAATTAGCGCCAGCTGTGCTGATAGGCCATACAGTTGTCCACGTCCTCTCACTTTAGAGGTATTTTCAGGATGTGTAAATATTAGAACATGGAGTGAACGCTGACAAACACCAGGGTGGAGTTTGTGTATTTGCCTGTACAGTGTGTAAACAACAGTTTACACTCCAGATTGTTTTTTAACAATGGACGCGCATCCTGAATGGGTTTCTGTTGGGTCACCACATGACGTGAAATTTGATTTGACGCTGATGTCTGTTGCTCACACCCATGTCTGATTCAATTAGGATGTGTATTACTGCAGAGGAGTCACATGGCCTTAATGCTGGAGGGCTTTTTTTCATTTGATCATCTGTGTTTTTAAAATAAATACACAATAGAATAAATAATATTCAGAGTATAACCATAAGCACAGCTGGGGGTTGGCATGTGGAACTATTTTGGTGTGGATTACAGATTGTATATGTCCCTTAGGAACAATGCATCATAAAAATACTCCTGCCACTTCACTTAATTTAATGTAATACATAGCCGATCTGCTTCCTGCCGGCCTCACAGGGACTTCATATCGTCATCCTCACTGTGGAAATAACTGCACTAGTGTTGCACGGATGTTATGAGGACTTTGCACTGTACATATCGTCATACGCCCTTTTGTCACAGTAAGGAGAGGGGTTTAAACTAATCAAGTTGATAATGTGTTTACAGGCCTTCAGTTCCCATTAGAAACACATTAAAAACACAGTAGAGAAGGAAAGATAATTCTTCATTTATGCTGGGCAGAGGTCATGCTTACACATTCACACCTCTAATGTATAGAAGGCAAGTCTGGATGGATCCACATTGTGTCTGGTCATCATTGTTTACTGTGGGACAATATGGTGGTTGTTAGGTCTGACCTGCTGAAATTAGGGATCCCACAGAAACAAGAAGTAAAAGTAAAAGTTTTACATAAAGTACGGAAGAAAATTAAGAATATAAATCAGTAAGTGGTCAGTGTATAGTCACTGTGCTAAAGAGCGTGGGTCAACAGCAGGCTTTATAAATCTTAAACTGAGACAGTTTCCACCGAAATATTTTCCTTAATCATTTTAAACTAAACAAGAGAAACTAAATTCTAGTACTGAGTTTTCAGTCAGGTTATTAGTATGCAGAGGGGGAGGAAAAAGTCCTCCTTTAAGGGTCCAGTGTGAAGGATTAAGGGGTCTCTAGTGGTGTAATTGTAGATCGCAACTCCCTCCCTTCACTCTCGCCTTCCAAGCATGAAGGAGAAACTACGGTGGCTGTGAAATGCGTGAAAAACGTGAACCAGAGCCAGTTTGGTTTGTCTCTTCTGGGCTACTCTACAAACATGGTGTGGTTCAACATGGCAGATTCAATGGAAGTCGTCCTTTGTAGATAAAAACGGCTCAATAAGCAATACAGTTCAGGTGATTATACACTAATGGAAACATAGTTATGAATATTATATTCCATTTCTGTCAATAGAGCCTCCTAAATGCTACACACTGGACCTTTAATGGCTGCTCCATAGTTTTTTGTTTCTATTGTCACATATAATAAAAGGATTTTGTGAGGTTGACAATAGCTTTGCACCCACAAAAGGAAATGGGAACTAACCAGAAGCCCAGTGTGTGTTTCAAAGGACAACTAAATGACTACATAGTAGAAATACACAAGATTACTGCATTGGTTAAAGATGTCCGACATACAGTAACTGTCTGACAGACATTAGAATTAAACTGCCTTTAGGAGCCTGTCATTTGTGTTTTTTACTCATTATACCAGGATTGGGGTGGGAGGGCGTTGGTTAGGGCAGGATATTGGAGGGATGGGCGAAGGGTGTATAAAGATAAACAATGTTAAAATTTGCTGAACACTTACTTCCATTTCTTTGTACACATATTAAGTTTTCCATTTGTCCGCAATAACAAATATTTTTTTTGACACATAATGAACGTCAATGTCCTTGTCCAGTAAAGGACCTTGTCAGTCAAATGGGTAAAACCCTAATGGATTAATTTCAACCATAGTGGAAGAGTACTTTGAGAAATTACCAACCTGATACATGATTTCAGTGGGGATATATGAGGGAAATATGTATTTTGAATTGGTCTGAATCATTACTCATGCTATGTAATGGCAACTTGATCTAACGATGACAGTAGTTTTTCAAGAAATCGTACAATGTAGAAAATTATTATGTTTTTTTTTAATGTAATTTTATTAAAGCTTCAGGACTAGAGTCCATGGTTGTCTTCGCATCTGCACATCCTTGTGAGGGAGGTTGGATAAGAGGAACTGCTGCTGGGTTTGGAGGGGAGTGTGTTGATTTAAATTTGATTACATATCCTGTATGAATGGGCCTTACAGCAGTTACAGCTGATGAAAATGATCCAGTTTTAATACAGGTGGCACAGAGTCTTACTTATTAAACTTATAAAAACCAGACACAGGCAGTCGTGCTCATGCATTTCCTGTGATTTATGATAATAATTGTAGTTTTTTTTCCATTTACGTAGCCTATCATTTTGAGCTTCTTTTAAAGGACATAAACAAACAAAGGCATCAGGATCAAAATAGATACAAATTTGGGAAAATAATAGGCTTAACACAGCATAGTGTTAGAGCCATAAAAGGGAGGTTAACAAAAACCAAAAAAGGAGCCAATAAATAAAAAAAAACAAATGTGTTCAATAGACGACTCGAGGATTTAGCTATTTTAAACTGAGGACTATTAACTGTGTGTCATCCTGTGTCTGAAAATCTGTCTTTTAACTCTCTTTCCATAACTCTGAATTCAGGAAAGACTAAACTTTAAAAGTAGGGCTTCAACACTGACTTTGAGTTGACAGTTGTACTGTACGTCTTATCAGCTCGGCCCTCTCTGAGGCCAGTTTATGTTTGTTCGGTGTGGGTGATCTCAGCTCGGTGGACAGTTTGTTTAATGCTGCTCAGTTGAGTTTAGGGTTTCGGGTACTGCTGAGATCAGTTCAGGTGAGAAACATGAATGTGTGAGGTTTTCAGCGAAAATAAAATAAAGCATAAAATAAACATGTACACATATTTTCATCCCTGCAATCAGAGCACATTTACTCTAATAACTTTTTATTTTTGTTGTGTTAACACACACTATAAGGCCTACAGAATGGCTTGTTGTCACTTGACAGACATTTGTGGAAGCTATTCTGTCAAAATGGTCAGACATCGGATCTGTTTTTTTGACACACACTCTACAGCCAGTCTGCGACCCACCAGCTGACATTAACCACGACATCATCAGAACCTTGTCTGGAAGTTTATAGATGGGACCCGTTGCATCCAGCATGTTATTTTTTGACCGTGCCACACAGACGCAGACAGGCTTCTCGCCCCATCCGTGGACACAGGAGAACTCGCAGATCAATCAAAACAACAATCAACTTAATTGCTGTAAGCACTAGAACAGCTAAATAGGATGTGTGTACTTTTGAATATTACATAAAATAAAAAAAACTAAATAAGCTTTTACAAAGCATTCCTGTATTTGTGGCTGATGAGTTCATTTACCAGGAATGAAAAATACTATCCACTAACAATCCCACAATGCAATGTGTTTGATTGTATAGATATCAAAATTACAGTTGTTCAACTCTACACATGATAGTGATTACGCAAAAAGCTGATTGATGATGATTGATTGACTCATTAGTGAGTGTCCCAAATCTCAAATAACAATTGAGTGTGTATCTTCCATGGGTAGCAGTGACTGACTAAAAAAGGAAGTGATTTCAGTCAAATAAAACACTCTGAATGTTAAGAATTAATTAGCATTCAGTTTTTCAATTAATGAAAAAAAGTAGGGCTAATAATAAGAGGGGCTTAAAAAAAGTGGGGCTATTACAAGAAAGTGGCTAATATAAAGGGGGGCTAAAAAAGGTGGGGCTATATATGAAAGAGGGGCTCAAAAAAAAGTGGGGCTAATATAAGGGGGCTAAAAGAGAGTGGGGGCTAATATAAAGCGGGGGCTAAAAAAATGTGGGGCTAATATAAAGGCGGGGCTAAAAAAGAGTGTGGGCTAATATAGAAGGGCGGGCTAAAAAAATGCTAAAATAATAAAGCGGGCTAAAAAAAGTGGGGCTAAATATATAAGCGGAGGGCTAAAAGAAGGGGGCTAATATAAAGAGGGGCTAAAAAAGAGTGGGGCCTTATATAAACTCCTAAAAAAGAGTGGGGTCTAATAGTAATAGCGGGGCTAAGAAGGAAAGTGGGGCTAATATAAGATGGGGTTTTGCTAGACGAGTGGGGCTAATATAAGCGGGTAGTTCAAAAAAGGAGTGGGGTAATATAATTAACGGGGTCTAAAAAGAGTGGGGCTAATATAAAGCGGGGCTAAAAAAAAGTGGGGCTAATATAGGAAAGGGTGATAAGCTAGAATAGAAAAGATACAATAAAAAAAAAAAATACGTACCTTGAAGTCCGCTGGTCCGTCCGTCCTGTGTTGCTCTTCCGGGTCCTCGTCGTGTTGGCAGCGTCTCCATCTGAAAAAAAAGGAAAGATGAAAAAAAAAAAAATTTTTTTAAACTTTAAACTTAAATGGGTCCTATTTATAACCTTTTGTGATGTCACTGATGATGTCACTGGTGATGCAACACTATAGATCAAAGATGATGACAGATCACAGATGATGTCATATAAACTATGACATCATCAGTGACATCATAGAAAGTTGCCTCGGTGATGGACCCCAGCTGGTTACCTTTGGACACACAGGTGCAGACGGGCTTCCCGCCCCGTTCACAGAGATATTAATAAGGTTGTTCAGAACCGACAAGATTTTGTTTTTCAGATAAGATCAGTGAATATCCACGGAGTAGGATGAAGTTTTCAAAAGCCTTTTCTAGCATGTCTTATTGTCAAACCTCTCCATGTCCATTTTTCTTTGTCACCAGTCACCAACAAGCATCACTTCGTCGACGGGCCCCTCCTCTACCAGTTCAGGATGAATTTCCGGCGCAGACGGCGATTGATCGAGCTCCTTCACGAGCGCGCCCGCAGCATCCCCGAGAGTCACGACAGCCCCTTCTGTCTCCGCAAACAGAACTCAGATGGAGGCAACACCAGCTTCCTCTCAGGTAGGAACTGTACTCACACACACAGTAACTGGACGTACCCCAGTCATGTCTAGTCTAATGTATCTAGCTGTGTATATAGTATACCAGCTATTTAGAGCCATGACGATTAGTTGATTAATCAGTTAGTTGTCAACTATTAAATTAGTCACCAAGTATTAATTGATTCATCATTTTGAGTCAGTTTTAAGAAAATTAATTCTCTGATTTCAGCTACTCAAATGTGAATATTTTCTTGTTTCTTTAGTCCTTTTGACAGTAAACTGAATATTTCTGGGTTGTCGAGAAAACATTTGAGGACATCACCTTGGGCTTTGGGAAATCGCGATCAACACTTTTCACCATTCTCTGACATTTTATGGACCAAACAACTAATTGATTAATTCATTGTGTGAACTATACTATGGGCTTTTAGGGGAATAATGGCGGGAGCATGCAAACTGAATGGGACTAGGAAAGTGTGTTTTATTCCCAAAGTTAAAGTGAGTGAAGTTTAGGATATAGTGCAACCACACTTTGATGGTGATTGCAAAAATCTTTATTGAAGTGAGATAGTAATGAATCAGCCTCTTTCATTAATCATACATCAATAATAGCCTACATTTACTCATGATCTGATACTGAAGATACAGAAAATTTTGAAATACATGGCAAATTGTCAGTATTTTAGAGACCCCCCCCAAAACTTCACAAATCATGGTTTCAGGGGAGGTGATGTCTTATTAAATGTAATTCGCACCCTGGATTAATTTAGGAAATGATTCAATGATTAACTGATAACAAAGCCCTACAGCTATTAATTGCAGTCAGTGTGTGGTTGACTGAGAAGCTGAGGTTACCTGCCCTTCAATTAAAACCAGACAGAAAATGTGTTTTGTTGTTCTTGCTATAAAGTTCAGATGTTTTCCTTGGTTATTATTGGATTATGTCTTCTAGGAAAAATCCACAGTGACATATTGACCCTTTTTGCATTATCTTGTAGTGACACACGCGTGATAACTGGTGTCCTTGGTGGTGTCTGCAATATATAGATAATAGTTATTTTTGTTGCCAGGCAGAAGAAAATGGTGCAAGTCCTGTTGTCCAGTCACACACACACACACACACACACACACACACATATATATACATACACAGTATACTGCACAGTATGCTACTGGAGTATACTACTTGATACTACTTCTCTCTGGGAAAACAGGCACCAAAGAAGTAGTATAACGTTCTTGTAATCTCCAAACAATGAGAGAGGGAGAGAGAGAAGGGGGGAGAGAGAGAGGGAGAGAGGGAGAGTCTCTCTCTCCCTGAGAGAGACTGGTCCCAGGGGAATGTCTTTTGAATTAACTGAAGTGGACAACCCTATCAGGAAAACAGGAAGTAACTGGAAAGAGGAGGTTTACATAACTATTGCTATTTTTTTGACAGTTATTAAAAGTTTAACCCACAGTTTTTAAACATATGTCCTAGTTTATACTAATTGAGGAGTTTAAATGAGGCGATTGTTTTCAGAATTTGCTGTAATTCTGATTATCAATAAGGTAAAAGGTTCTATGCAAACACAGCAAGGGTTAGTGCTGTACTTCTCATGCTCTTGATTGACCTGCAGGTAAAAAGGCCAAGTGAATAAGCTGTCAAATTAATTCTGGTCCCTCTTTATTGCCCTCTTTCTGTTTCTCCCATCAATCTTTATTCTAATGTCTCCTTTTGTCTCTCTCCATCTCAGTGAGTCCCACTAAAGAGATTAAAGTGGCAGTCGGTGTACGGCGGAGCAGCATGAGCAGCAGCTGTGGCAGCAGTGGTTATTACAGCAGCAGTCCTACGCTCAGCAGCAGCCCACCTGTCCTGTGCAACCCCAAGTCTGGTAAGATGATGTGGACACACACACATACAAAGAGACTAGTTTGTGGAGTGTAGTTTGTCACTGTGCAGCTCCTAACAAGAAATACTAGAGGTTATTTCATTTAGTTTTCAGATATCGTATTGTTTTTTTTTTTATTATTCATCTGTAAAGGACAGTGGTAACCTCACCAAGTTGTGATCTTGGCTTTCACTAAATGCATGCACATCAGCTGTGTGTATCTCATAATGAAAGTGAATAAACTGGTAAATTGGAAGTGATGTGGTAGATGTTTTTTGGACATGCTGACTCAGACTCAAACTTACAATTTAAAAATGATTTAACCCACCTTCTGCCATTCATCCCATCACACACTATTAACTTTGCACCTTTAGTATATGATAAAATGTGATAAATACGTGCTGGTTGTAGCAAGTGATAATCATGCATATAATTTGAAGATGGACTGCTTCAACTTCTGAGTAGAGATTTGAATGAAGAAGTGATGCCGTGTGT